CACAGCAACAGCCGACTATCGGCACTCTAGGAAACCACGCAGAACACACAAAATACTGAGACACAACACTACATACATAAGACACGGGGGGAGGGAGGGGAACCCGGTAGGACAGGGGGGGACACTGATACCCCACAGAATAAGAGGGGGGGCAGGGCAGGAGGGGAGGACTAAGAAGAGTAGGCGAGACAGCATAGGAGGAAACGGGAAATGGAGAGGGATGGGACACCAAGGAGGGAAGGGGAACAAGAACCCTTGGGAAGGAGGGGAGAGGGGGACGGAACAAACACACGAGGAGAGGAAAAAAAAAAAACTACAATCCCACTCCTAACTGTCAACACCAATGCAAAAGGAACAGGGAGAGGAGACGGGTAAAAGAGGGGCCACCCCCCCACGCCGCCAAACCAGACCCAACACCTAACCCCATCCAACACAGACCCCAAGGAATGCACACACCCTGCACGCAGGGGACCAGCCCTAACGAGGGGACAAGTCACAGGGCAGCCCCCACAACGCCAGACCACCAACCATCAGAAACCACATGTAGCCAATCCTCACACGGACCAATAAATACACACGCACCATTCCCACCAAACCTGGAACATACACATAGACTGAGAACCAGGCACCCAACCCATACCTCTGCATGGAGCCCGCCGACAATGTCACCCCACCACGACATTTCCTCACCCTCCCCCCCAAAAAAAACCTCACTAAAAGGTGCAGCCACAAATCACACCTAGAGACCACCACAAGCCACAACCACAGCCACTGTCTAGACCACTACCCACGGTCACACCTGTCAGACTAGACATACAGACCCAAACCATGCCGAGAGAGCACGGGAGACAACCCAGACCGCTAGGGCCGGAGACCGAACGGCCCTCGACCCACCCCCTGAGGGCATAGGACAAAACCCACCCCTACGCTAGAGGGGTACCATACTCCGGAGGTAATCCAGAATACAAGGACCCGAGGACACACCGCCCGGATACTTGTCCACAACCCCAGCCTAAACGGAGAGCAAACCGAGCTAGGCATAAGGCAGACTCACAGACAACCCCACCACACACCAGCTATCCCCTGCCCACACCTTTCCACTACCTACCCCCACCCCGCTACATGGCAGCCGCCCCAGGCCTGCAGGCCCCCGAGAGGGGTCCACTATACCAGAGAGGACCTGAACATTGTCACATATAACGTCCATGGACTCAACATCCGCGAAAAGCGTACCAGACTCCTCAGGGACCTGAAACGGTACGGAGCGTCGGTAGTATACATCCAGGAGACACACTTTCAAAACCTCCGGGCACCATCGCTCCGGGACCACAACTTCCCAGTGGGATACTTCAGCAATAATCCGCAGCGACGCACACTGGGAGTGGGCATCCTATTCTCCAGATGGACCCCATACATTGAACAAGACACGTTCCGATGCACATCAGGGAGATACATCTTCACAAAAGGCACCATCCATGACCAGAAATACACTTTCGCGAACATATATGCCCCAAACACGAAACAATACCACTTCCTCCGCAGGACCATGATAGCTCTGATGAGGTTCGCGGAGGGCACACTGATAGTGGGAGGAGACCTTAACCTCCCTCTGCATGATCGAGACACCTTAGCGGCGCACACACACAGACACCACCCGGCAGGCACGCAAGAACGCTCCAACTACTCCACTACCATCAACTCACAGACTGCTGGAGGGCAATGAATCCTGAACTAAGACTACACATTCTACTCCACGACGCATGACACATACTCGAGGCTGGACTACCTCCTACTGCCCTACCACAGCTTACCCCTCCTAGTAAAGGCAGAAATTCTACCGATGACCTGGTCGAACCATAGCCCAGTCCGCATACGGCTACGATCCCCACTATTCAGACCTCGCCAAGTTTCCTGGAGACTCAACGAGTCCATCTTAACAGACCCCACACTGGTGTCGAGGACCATGCAGGTCCTCCAGGACTACTTCAACATCAACGAAACTGAGGACAAAACACATGTAACATGCTGGGAGGCACACAAGGCCACTTAATCGCGCACTGCTCGGCACGGAAGAAGGCACACACGAAAACAGTAACGGATCTCAGCAGGGACATAGCCCTTCTGGAGAACCAACACAAACTGACACTGGATGCCTCAACCTATAGGGATCTTCTCCATAAACGCTCCCAACTCGCCGAGCACATGAACCGTTCCATCCAACGATCCTTCCAGCACTTCCGACACCTGGTGCACAAACACGGGAATAAATGCAGCAGGCTACTCGCAAATCTACTGAAGCATCATAGGACACACCTCTACATTAACAAAATTAAAGACCCGTCCCAGCGGATGCACCACCTTCCAGACTAGATCTCCACCACATTCCTTAACTATTACCGAGACTTATACAACATACGGCACGAGGCACAAGACACCGTAGAAGCCCGCGGACACAATACCATTCACACATACCTGGCATCAGCAGGGCTATGCCAACTAACGGACGCGGACCGCGAACTGTTGGACGCACCCATCGCCCCAGAGGAAATTTCGATCGCCATCAAAAAAGCGCAGATGGGAAAGTCGCCAGGACCAGACGGCCTGCCGTTACAATACTATAAGACCTTCCAGTTCGAACTCCTCCCAAAACTACACAAAGCCCTGAACTCAATCCTCGAAGGAGCGACACCCTCAGCCCAATTCGCGGCAGCAAACATCACACTCCTCCCAAAAGAAGGCAAAGACCCAACTTCCTGCCAGTGCTACCATCTCGGTCCTAGATTTCGATATCAAGCTACTGGCCAGCATGCTGGCCAACCGCCTGGCACCTCTCCTGCCGGACTTGGTACATCCTGATCAGACAGGTTTCATCCCAGGCAGGGAGGTCAGGGACACCATCATACGGGTGCTGAACCTGATCTCCGTGGCATCACGATCCACATGACCATCTCTACTTCTGTCGACAGATGCCGAAAAGGCCTTCAACCGGGTAGACTGGAACTTCATGTTCGAGACCCTCCGGACCATAGGTATTGGACCCAGATACATCCAATGGGTGGAAGCGCTATATACCGCTCCGACGGCACAGCAAGGCCGTCACCCATACTATTTGCACTCACCCTAGAACCCTTCCTCAATAAAATCCGCAGCAACGAGGAGATCCGAGGATTGCAAATAGGCCAAACACACCACAAAGTGTTGGCCTACGCAGACAATCTTTTTCTAGTACAGGAACCCACCAGATCGCTACGGGCGATCAAAGCAGAACTCGAGACCTATGGCCGGATATCCAATATGCGCATCAACGACACCAAATCGGAAATCCTAAGCCTAACAATCTAATACCCACAACAACTCGAACTTCGGCAGCGCTTCTTCCAAACTGTGCCCATAGAGGCGCCAAAGTCATTCTTCACCACCATCCAATCCACAATACGTAACTTCATTTGGAAAGGGAAGCCTCCCCGAATCGTCCACACTCAGCTGACTCTCCCCAAGCTCAAAGGGTGCCTGGCCCTCCCAGATTTGCGGAAATATCACCTAGCGACACACCTCACTCGAATAATCAACTGGTCGGTAAAGACCAGAGACAAACCCTGGGTGCAGTTAGTCAGACCTCACCAAATACGACCGCACGACCCTCCCCACACCAACCCATTTGTGAAAGCCACCCTACATATCTGGCACCAGAATGGCCCCAAACACTACCTTATGAACAACACCAGCCCGCTACTTCCCTTAAAAGGCAACCCGGACTTCCCGGCGGGCAACATGGGCCCTAACTCGCGCCCAGCAAACGGTAACACGACGCTCAGAATGATAGATATAATTTCACCCCCATTCAAAATCAGACCGATCGAGGCCATCTTCCTGGACCAGAGACACACATTCGCACACAAGCTGGCGAGGGAACAAATGTCCCACTATGCACACTCCATCCCCCAACGCCCCTACCTGACAAGAGATTTCACAGAGTTCGAAACCCTGTGCAGACAGGACAAAACTCCACCGAGAGCAATCTCCCTGATCTACAAATTCCTGGTAACGAACAGATCTTTTGGGCCCCCCCATGCATCAGACGATGGGAAGAGGACCTAGAAGAACTTAACGACGCGGACTGGGACAAAATCATCCTGCACCTTCAAAAGACCCCGAGAACAGCTAGACACCAGGAAAACTCATACAAAATCCTCACTAGATGGTATATAACCCCGCCACCCTCCACGCACGCAATAACTCAATACCGGCCACATGCTGGCGATGCGGAGGAGGACGACGGTACATTCCTCCACATCTGGTGGGGCTGTGCTCTCATCCAACCGTTCTGGCAAGCGATACGCCAAGTCATCCACACAGTGACAGACAACACCCCACCCATGTCACCAGCCTTCTTCCTACTACACCACACAACACCCACTCCGACCTATTTTAAAAAAACAAAAAAACAAACGGTGGTGCCGTCTGCTCAATGCGGCGAGAACGACTATCCCCATATTTTGGAAACAACCACATGCCCCCCCATTCAGACACGTGGTGGAGGACACAAGAAAATTCGAGGACCTGAAAGCCACCACGGCAGCGGCAAAAGAAAAGCTCATGACCAGATGGTTCCACTGGATACGACATCGCTACAGATGAGTTCTTAACCCACCCTAAACCTACAAGACAATCGGGTGCCTGCACCTGGGGTGACCTGTAGGCGGGTCACCCTCAACCACATCCTCCTCCCCTCTAGCGTGTGCCAACCTCACACCATCCAATCACTGCCGGGAGGCAACAAGAACCACACTGAGGACCAGACCCCGTAAGGAAACAGCCCCCAACGCAGAATGCAGATCCACACAGACCTACCCAACATGAGACTCGGACCCACGCTCCACCGCCACATGACGACATGACCCAATGACCACACACTACCTCAGAGAAGGGGGCAACACTACGCACTACGACCAGCCCACTCAAGTCACATACCCCCACACGCTCCCCAAACGCAACCACGGGCGCTACCAAGCACCGGAGGGCAGCAATGCGGGAGACACGCCCCACAAGGAGCACAGTCACACACATACACAGGTCTCGCAGCCACCAGAAACATAGGTTAGACAACTGCCTCCCTAGACCACCAACACAGAACATAATAAACACAGCCACAACGACCGCCCGGGCAACCTAAAACAATGACTGAAACCACCACCTAAGTGCACAGTTCATGCCCCACAACTACACAAAGAGGCAAGGCACAGGCAACGCAACATTTACTGACACACAAGACGAATACCCACCAATACTCCCACACGAAATGGGAAACTACACTCCAAGACTAGCCTCAGGCCTTAGCGCTGACACCACCATTTCTCAGGTAACAACTCCACCTACCTGCCTATCTCTAGCACCACACCGCTAGATGAAAAACAACAAGACGAATGGAAAAAATAGGCCAAAGCCACAACTTGAACGAAGTCAACTTGATTTGTTAAGCACATATCATCTGTTAAAAACCCTAGATCCTAATGTAACTGCATGTCTTATCTGAAATGCCTCTGCACAGGCAATCCTAAGCTTTCCATGAAACAAGAATGACTACATGCTTGTACTTGCAACACAAAATAAAAATAAAACAAAAACAAAAATCCACAATAGTTTGCAACTTTGTATAATCTATTTAGATACAGTTGCAAAAATAGTCTTTTGAAATGTTAGCTGATGGCAGTTATCCCAGTTACTGTGTTAGCTGGGGTATATCTGCTAAACAAGCAATGTTAATATAGTACAAAAAACAATCTTGCTTCTTCAAATGGTATATAATTGTAATATTGTACACTATGGTAATCTGCAATCAGTTGTAAGCTTTAAGATCATATGAGAGACCCCAAGTCATAGGCAGTATCTTCAATCTATGGGAAACTAAAAAAATCCCATGGTGCTTTCTGTGTAACCCCTTAAGGATCAAACTTCTGGAATAAAAGGGAATCATGAGAAAGGAACAGAGACCACCTAGCTTGTCTAGAAGACAATCGTTTAGTATCTCCTATGTAAGCCAGGTTTTTGTGATCAGTAATGATCAAAAGGGCACCCTTGGAACCCTCTAAAAGATGTTGCCACTCCTTGAGAGCTAGAATAATGGCCAACAATTCCCTATTGCCAATATTATAATTGCGCTCGGCAGGAGACAACTTTCTACAGAAGTAACCACAAGGATGCAATGGAGTATCCTGGCTCTCCCTCTGGGAGAGAACTGCCCCTACCCCTGTCTCTGATGCATCAACTTCCAGTATGAAAGGTTTACTGGTGTCAGGATGTTTCAATATGTCGCTGTTTAAGAGTTTCAAAGGCTTCTATAGCCTCCTTAGACCATATCGTACTGCTAACCCCTTTGCGTGTCATATTGGTGATGGGTGCTATTACTGAAGAAAATCCCTTTATAAACCTTCTGTAATAATTGGCAAAACCAATGAACCTTTGAATGGATTTCAACCCAGTGGGTAAAGGCCATTGTAGAACCGATTCCAGCCTTTTAGGATCCATATTAAACCCCGAGGCAGAGATATTATATCCCAAAAACTGTACTTCAGATTTGGCAAAGATGCATTTTTTAAAATTTACAATAAAGTTGATTTTTTTTTAACAAGGTCTGCAGAACTTGTCTAACGTGATTGTGGTGAGTCTGAATGTCAGGAGAATAAATAAGGA